AATACAATTAGTAATTTATTGACTGGTAATATTTCTTTATTTTTTGTCAACTATTCTCTTATGTTTTTACTTCTGTGTTTTAACCTATTCTTGGCTGTTTTGGAGGGCCATCTCGCCACAAGTCGCACTGCGCAATATTTTTGTTTTTGTTATTATTTATTTATTTAATTATTTATTTATTTTGCGCAGGGCGGCTCCCCCCAAAACACTCTTGATGCCGTTGCTCTTGGCGCACTGTACTATACCCTAGGCTTTCTCAATCCTAAAACCTGATGTATCTTTTGAATGCATCCGAATGCCACCTTCCCATTTCCCTAATTTGTGCGTCAGAGAAGCCACGGGAAAGGGCATGGCATGCGGCCCCTATTCTGAAACTGTGACCCGTATATGCATGTGGGTCTAATCCTATAAATTTCACCGTCTTTTGCAATATACAGGCAAACTCGGTTCGTTTCACTGGTTGCCCGCTTGGCCAGCAGTACAAGAACTTTGAATTAAATGACATTCGTTGGCTCATGTAATCTGACAATGCTCTGACTGGGCATACATCATCTCCTTTGCGTGAAATTTCTATACTGGCCTGTTTTCCTTTGGAATGCTTGTAGTGTTCAAAAACTAATCGTACACCTTCGCCATCTTGGCTTTTGTTTAAGTTATCTATTTTTAACACATTGGTTGTGTTTTGATTTGAAACGGTCATTTCCCCTATTCGTAAGAATGCTACAAAGGCCAACAAAAACATGCTGCGGTACATCAAGTTTTGATACCTTGATTTCGCACAGTGCTCTAGTGCTGCTGTAATTTTTTGTAGCAGTTGTAATGTGATCGGCAGTCGTATGTCCTGCCTAGGTTTGTTGTTCTGTACCCCCATTGCTGCTTTTCGAACCAGAAATGACTGGCCTGGTTCTGGTAAACTGTACAACTTATGTACGTAATTAATGGCTCACTGAAAACAACAACTGGTCATGCTGACAAGATAGATCTTGTTTCGCCCGAGTGTCTGTACTGACAAGAACTCACTTGTCTAACTGACAAGTTGTAATCTCGTCATGATCTTGTTTACATCTCGTCATGATCTTGTTTACATCTCGTCATGATCTTGTTTACATCTCGTCATGATCTTGTTTACATCTCGTCATGATCTTGTTTACATCTCGTCATGATCTTGTTTACATCTCATCACGATCTGGTTTACAACTCGTCATGATCTGGTTTACATCTCGTCATGATCTGGTTTACATCTCGTCATGATCTGGTTTACAACTCGTCATCATCTGGTTTACAACTCGTCATCATCTGGTTTACAACTCGTCATCATCTGGTTTACAACTCGTCATCATCTGGTTTACAACCAGTCATGATCTGGTTTACATCTAGTCATGATCTGGTTTACATCTAGTCATCATTTGGTTTACATCTAGTCATCACCTCGTCACTATCCTGCTGGCATCTCGTCATTATCTTGTGATAATCTAGTCAGTGTCTTGTTTTGATCTGTCAATATTTTTGTCTTGTATAGGCCTTTATCATGCCATGCTCTGTATTTTGAAATTGCAATTATCTAGCCATTCTGATCTTGAGACGCCTTCAAAACGAAAAAGAACACTTGAAATAAACAATACATCGCTTTGAATTACTTTATTTAAACAGTAACATCCCAATGACTCATAAAGTTAAACACCACTCATAAATAACGAGGACATGAAATGAAATACAAGTGAAAAACTAATTGCAACAATACAATTTCCACAACAAAAAAATCTTCAGATCAATCAAATTGAATTAAAGGACTAGAAGCTACGGCAAGATTTGTGGATTTGCACTCGGGATTCACAATACCTTAAAACCTGTGAAATCTTGACAGTTGAACTAATTGAGGTGGGTCAACAGTAAAAAAAAATAAAAAATTCATATATATTTTGGCAACAAGTTTTGTTTACAATTTCTTTTGCACATATGACCTTTTATTGAAGTCACAACAAGGCTTAACAATTTTCCATCATGTACATGTAGTTGGTGCATTCTTTACATTCTTTTGCACCACATCACATCCATTTCCACAAATGAAATAAAAGGTGAAAATAGAACCTTTTTCGAATTTGCTGAAACTAGTTATTAAACTCTCGAGATCAATCCTTTCAAATTACATGGCCAGGAGCTAGTATAAGATTTGTGCCCTGGTTTAAGTGGATTTGCGCACAGGATTCACAAAACCTTTAAAAAATGATCAAGTTAATACTTGAGACTTGAACTTGAGGTGGCTCAATAGTCTAAAAAGAGAGAGACTATTTTGGCAACAGTTTTTTTTATATAATTTATTTTTCACCCGTGGCCTTTTATTCAAGTCACAACAAGGCTTTAAGGAACAATTTTCCATCATGTAGTTGGTACATTCTTAACATTCTTATGAACCACATCTCTTCAAAAAGCCACATCCATTTAATAAAAATAAAACTTCAACATTTAATTTTTTTTCAGATTTGCTGAAAGTAGTCATAAAAGCTCAGTAACTTTGGGCATGGGATCAAACATTCTCAAGATCCAGGAGAAAAAACACACAAGGTTTAACAAGTTAAGTTTTACAAGAGTCAAATTTTGGCCACACAAATCTCAAAATCAGTCTTTTGAAATCAAACCAAATTTGAAACAGAAAACAGAACCAGGACCGAATTTGGGAAGAGTTGCATACACGGATAGCAAGTGAACTATCAGCCATCAGGAAGTGGTAACATGTTCTAACAAAAAGTAAACTTTAGGCCAAAAAAAAATTACTCGGTCTGTGGTCAGCGCGCGTGTCCATTTTAATCATGCGCGTCAATCTCTTTTGCCGTGCCTCCTCAAATTTTTGTACCAAGGAGCACCAAGGAATGGGGAAATTGCACCAAGGCAAATGATAAAGGGCACCGAGGCAAATTATGGAGGACACCAATGTATAATGAGGACACAAAAAAGCAAAATAGTACCCACCTTGTCTGTACAATACAAGCTTGAATAAAAAGAAACCGCGTCGCCGCATCAATTCCGGAACTGCGGTCTGACCAGAGACCGACTATCTTTTTTAGCCTCCTCAAATTTTTGTACCAAGGAGCACCAAGGAATGGGGAAATTGCACCAAGGCAAATGATAAAGGGCACCGAGGCAAATTATGGAGGACACCAATGTATAATGAGGACACAAAAAAGCAAAATAGTACCCACCTTGTCTGTACAATACAAGCTTGAATAAAAAGAAACCGCGTCGCCGCATCAATTCCGGAACTGCGGTCTGACCAGAGACCGACTATCTTTTTTTTTTTTGGTCTTAGCAATGAAAATATTGAAGCATTTACTTGGAAAAAAAATGCAGACCAGTCTTATAGGGTTTGTGCACAGGGTGTTAAAAGTTGTCCTTGTTTGGAACTCTTTCCCTGAATTTATCCACATAGAAATCATTCAAGAACATGATGGTCAAAATTGTTTATCAAAAACAATTTCTACATCTTTACATGTTTTGCACATCTGATCATAAGGTCCTGAAGAGATCAACAAAAAGTGCCGACATGTTCTTGGATTCTTTGTTGGTAATAACTACTGAGTTAAAGTTTCAAGGAGGGCACACACACTAGTGTGGACCTTTTCCTTGTCCTGAATGTTCAGGATAGGCCTTTGGAAGAATTGAAGTGTTTTCTTCAACTTCTTGGGATATGACAGGTTAAAAACATAAAAAGATGCAAAATAAACCTCAAATGCGGAAAACAAGTGGGATGTCTTCATGACTACCTTTTCTTCGATGACGACCTTGAATGTGGTGTCGTCCTGTTGGTGGATGATATGATCCATTTGTGATTCTCCAGTCTGAAAAGGGAAAACAAAAAGAGTTATCAAAATGAGTGAGTGGATGCATGGATGATTGAAGGCCAAGTTTCAGTAGAAGTGTTGCAATAACCCAAGTATTAGCCCCCACACAAGCTTCTCAGTAAAAGCAGGCTGCTTAAAGCTATAGTCCATCATTTGCAGCTACCCAAAAAGTAACTGATGATATTATTTATTTTAAAAAATTGAGTGGCACGATAGATTTTGAGCACCGTGATTTTTGTTGATTCAAATGAACACAATACAAATTGCAAATGATGGACTGTAGCCAAAGAAGCCCAGTGATCGGGTGTCTGGGATATCGGTGCATTTTCATTTAGGTTTTTCACAGTATGGCTGAAATACTGACAGGCGTCTTTCCACAAAAACCGGGGCTACCGTCCCCAGGTAAAAAGCAGTGCACATTTGTGCCGGACACTTGTATGCAGATCAGGCACGTGTATGCAGATTCAACATTTCTTCAATTTCACCTTCAGGTTAAGTACTAATGTATGAAGCTACAAGTGAATATGCAGACATTCACACTACCAAGTGAAATGAGGTGGTGAAGATATGAGCATGTCACTCAATTTGAATCAGTTCCAAAACAATGCATTGAATTTGAAAATTGTTTATGGGTCTAAACACTTTCAACGTTTAATCATTGCATAATCTTACATGTACCTGTTGAGTCAGCAGATGATCCAGCTTCTCCTTCAGTAGTATTGGCACCACAGCAATGGAAGCACAGTATGCCTTTTCTGGAATAGATTAAAAGTACCATTAAGTTATGTTTCAGATTACTTTGACTAAAGCCAAGTATCACATTCAAATAATGAATACGCTTCTTATATGCATTAGATGACAGCACTTACCCCGACGATTTTCTTCAGTTGTTTCAAGTGATGCCAATTCAATCAGCTTCTTGATGACAGTGTGATCTTGCTTCTTTGCGAGACAGAAAAGCCGATCATGGTACCGCTTCAAACCAGTTGCAAGTTTCCTCCCCAGGTCTTCTGTTGAAATCCGCTTAAACTCCTTTAGAACCTGCACAATAAGGATACAATATTCATACTAAAAACAGTAGAAAATAACATTTTGAAATGGACTGCACCTTTACAGTTTAAATTTAACATTGCTTTAAAAGCCTAGTACCTGGAAGTAAATTGACTCATTTTGTGTTCAGTTATCACATTACTTGTTCTCAATAGCAAGTTAAGTGCCAGCCAGAAGCCATATAAATACCTCGCTTCCCCCTGCAAGAAGTGCAGGAAAACGTGCCTTGATGTCAGCCATCAGTGGATTGCCTTTGATGATGAATTCCCTGCGGTCAGCAAATGTCAGTGCCATCAGGCGATCAACACGACTCCGGTCTGGGTTTCTCTTCGCGAGTTCCACCTTCATAGCAGCTTGATGTCGTTCAATTGAAGTACTGTCTTCGCCCTCTGGTCGCTGACTGATGTAGTTTTTGAGTCCCCACATGAGCTTGTCGTTCTTTGTTGGAGGTGGTCCTGCTGCTGTACTAGTTGGATCTGCAAGTCGGCGTTTTCCTGGCACACAATCTCTACGCCTTCGGTCATTTTGAAACCTATATTGAATCCGTTGACGCCACAGACTCTGAAAACAAGAAAATGTAATTCTCATCATTAAGCAACAAACAAGGTGTCCTTGGGGTGTTGGGTTGTTTGTTTGTTTGTTTATTTGATTTTGTATTCACACAAAAATGTTATGTATGTATTGGGAAAAACCTGGCAATACAAAAGGAGCCTAAAATAATGGATCACTTAGTTTTTTTCTCACCTGGGAGGTGATACATGTAGATAAAACTTGGATAAAAGCCGGGCATAATGTGCATTGATTTGGGATTGAATGAAATTTCACCATTTTATCTCGTGAACAACTGACTTACAGGTTGGGAAAGGACGGAGCTTACATGCATAATTGCGGTGACACAAAAGCGGTTAGTTTAGAAATTTATGCTTATTTTGAAATACAAATGTGGTCATACATATGAGCAAATAATGTTGCATAAAATTTATTCAATGTTTATGGAATTAATATATGTGTGACCCTGGCAGTCATGGCTTCATTTAGATTTTATGGTTATGATCACAAAGCACAAAGCAAATCCTACAGGTTCAGTTTTCCGTTATATACTGCAAAGTTGAGTGTACATGTACATATGCTTCATCAACATAATGTTAAGTTCTTACCATTGACAAATTTTCATTGGATTTCACCTTGGGAAACTTCTCCATGAAGGCTGTGACCACCTCGGTGTACTGCCACTCTTTTGGGTAACTGTGGAATCAGAAATAAAGAGAAATGCCAATCATGATTGTAAAATTATTCAATCCCCACTCCAGTGTGTAAACAGTGGTGTAAATCCCAGTTGGAGGGGGGTAGTAGCACAGTAATAGTAATAGATGGGTTATTGAATCATCCCCCTCTCCACTTTTCCGTGATAAAAAAAAATGCGGATTTGGACCTTTTTTAACTGCCCAACAACCAGACTGATGTATTCAGCTTGAAATGCGCCATTTTGATGCAAGGTTAAGGCACGTTAGTATACATAGGATGTACCTCTGTACCACAAATAGTGCCCCTAGTGTAATGAGGTGTCTAGCACCCCCCCCCCCCCTCGGCAAGGACAATTTTTGATTTTGGTCATCCCCTATCCTCCATATCACACCCCCTCCCCCACTGGCCGGCACAGATTTACGCCACTGTGTGTGAAAACTCATTGCAGAACAGTGGCGTAGCAAGGATAATTTTTTTAGAAACTCAAAATCTCAGTGGAGGGGCGACTGGGGGGGGGGGGGACAAGGTTTCATGGTGGGGCTGTCGCCCCCCCCCCCCCCCCGCCACACGCCCCCCGTGGCTATGCCACTGTTGCAGAATCAAGAAAATCCAGAAACGTAAGATTTGAAAAGGAAAAAATAATGTCCATTTCAGGTTGCTGGTAGGGATTCACTTTTGCTTTAAGTATAAACGGAAATAAATCAAAAGTGTTGCACAACTTATACTACTTTGTGTGAAACTTGTAATTTGTGTGGAAATAGGATGCTGTTGGAATAAAGTACAGGCAGTTTTTGACTGAGCTTGAATCATAACGTGACCAAAGGATTATGTGCATCTTGAGAAAGGCATAATTGCAATCCAAACTTTCTGACTTACTATGTATACTTTGTGACCTCCTGGTAGACAGCATCTGTGATCTGTGTCCTCTCTCCCCTACTGAGCTTTTCACCACTTCGCAGCTTCTGCAGCACTCCAGCACGTAGAGCATATACCGGGAAATTGAACTGGACTGGCCACACACGGAAAGTCTTTGGTGAAGTTGTGGTACTCAAAGTAGGGCTGTTGAAACATAACATTAAAATTAAAGCAATCCTACATGTACTTCATCTTCATACCATCAAACCGGCAACTATAAGGGATATAAAATAGTCCCTCATAAAAACTGTAATAAATATAAGTATTTTGAGATAATGGAAATATGTGTACAGTTTTTAAGGGGATTTTACTTTATTTTGCTTCATTCTATTTTTTATCACAGGGGTGAAGGTGTTTACAAAACAAAAACCACACGTACCACCGACTTTGGGGACTTGGTTTTTACATTGTTTCATTTAAATATTAAAGCTTATGACTGCATGCATGGGGTATGGTCATCTTGACAATGCATGCATTTCTGGCAGAATCCATTATTTATTTTTATAATATGCAAGTTAATCAAGGTTTAACAGGCCTGTGATGATTTTCAGTGATCTATCAAAGCAAAACTTACCCTTCACTGGCTTTAGGAGATTCACCGCTGCATTCAGACACTGGAGTAGGCACAGCTTCATCATGTTCATTATCAGAATGAGCTGCAGTCATCAGGACTTGCAATCTCGTCATATTTTCAAGGGAAGACATTGGGGCCACATCAACCCAATCTCCAAAATCTTTATCAAAATACTGCAGTTGCACTTGTTCCCCATCTCTTGGTATTTTGAATTGTTCACATATGGACTTGGTTATCTCATCCACATTTCCCCTTTCATTTGCAGATTCATGCTCAATGATCCGTTTCGAACTCTTGTATGTGACATGGAATTTGAGACGCATTTTCTGGAAGGAAAATACAGCCATTTTGTGCGTTGATGATCATCTACCACTCAGTGCAAGTAATTTCAGTCAGTATGCGATATCTTGTGTCTTAGGATTACTAATTTGTTTTTAGGTTCTGCTGGATAATCATACACATCAAGTGGGTGGTAGTCAATGGCATCCATTGGTTTAATCAACATATACATGTGAAGTTGTTCCACAATATACCCGTGGTAATGGACACTGAAAAATAAGGTGTTGAGTCTAGTACACAGAAGGTATGGAATGTTGCCAATGATGAAACAGTCCTCAATCATGATGAATACAGGTAAACTATCACTGTATCTGAAAACCAAACATGAGCCACAGCAGTATTTCACACCATCGACCTTGAGGCAGTTGCACTCAAACACTTGGTCTTGACCTCCTAAAAGTGGTTCCAACAGATCTTGAACCTCCTTCAACAAAAGCCTGACAAAACTAAGTTTTCCACAATTTGTGTCAATTTGCTGTGTTTCCAAGTAGTTATCAGATGCGAGGAAAATTGTCTGCATAAACTGATGCCTGACAGCCATACTTTTACAGATGTTTTTCCGTTTTTTTAAGCCGTGAGTAACTTCTTTGAAGTAGTTATGTTTTCCCTCAAATCGGAGAGTCCAACAATGGATAAGTGGACCAAATCGCAGAATCTGCCAAGGATAATGCAGTGTATAGTGGCATTTAGGTTTGACATTTTCATCAGGAAATTCCGTTGTATATGTGTACCAGAAATCCTCTATGAGATCGGAAAGAAAAGCCACATCGCCCTCTGAACAAACTGGTGCACAAATTGCTTCCACCATGAACATGATACGTAACAGAACATTCCACTGAGGGTTGTTCTCAGGAACCTTGTCGCCAATTAAAATTGGGAACAGCCTCAACATGCACCAACACTGCATAGCTGTTTGCTTAACCCTGAAATCTGCCACTGTTGAAGCCATTCTAGTGGGTTTATTCACCCTGTCAGTTTTACCATAGGAAAAACTCTCAATCCTTGTGTTAAAGTGGTCAAGACTGAAGTAATCCTCAGACACAAAGTACAATACAAGATTCTGAAGTACCTCGGGCACAAGCCCCTCAAAAAGGTCATGAGCAATGTCCGACGGAAGTCCCCTAGTAACATGGAAGTATTCAAGCTCATTAAGAACACAATCGGTCTTCACGCCATATGCTGTCGCCAATGTCCTATCTTCGGAAACCATTGTAACCTGTGCATTGTAGCTCTCCCTTGTTCTCATTTCAAACTTTCAACAGTCAAGCATTCATCAAGGTCTTGTCTCGTGGCCATACAGAAACGACTGATCCTCAAGCCATTGAAACTTTCATTGAATCCTCCAAGTGAATGAGCACCAAGATTATCTGCTGAAACAAATGACACTGTGCCTCTGAAGTGATGCTCATGGCCATTTTTATTCACACAAACACCATCCTTTTCTAACACTGCCAGATCATTAATCAACGGCTGTAGTACTTTCTTAAATCCATACTTTTTCAAGTGTTTGGATTTGCACAAAAGAGCAAGCGGGAGGACGTACAACTTAGACCTGTATTGTGGTGACAAATTTCCCAGCACAAAATAAAATGCTGCAAGTTTGTAATTCTTGACCTTATTTCCAAGGGGATTCACAATGTTGAAGTCATCATAATATAACTCGACCTGTAAACTTGAAGAGTCAGAGGCAAATAAAACATTTTCCCTGAAGAAAGCACCATCACAAAAATCCCTCAATTTACCATCCTCAGACATATGACCCTGCACAACCTCTGCAAATATATCCTCATTTTGTAAGAGTAACTCCACTGTTTTCAAAATGGGTATGTACTGTGTGGATTCACATTTTCCCTTAATATCTACTCCAAGTACAAATTCAATTGGTTCAACATAGGGGAACTCAGACTGAACATAACCACTCAGTTTTCTGTTATCCTCCAAACTGTGAAAAATGTCCTCTAATTCTGTTGACTGAATAACAGCCATGGCAGTTGCAATCTCATCCCGATTGACACCATCTTCAAGAAGTGCTGCATCCAACTCAGAATGCACCTTTGCTTTAGACATCTGCAAAATATTTACCAGCTCTGACGCAACAAAACTACAAACAGTCCCTGGCACTTTATGTAACTCTCTCAGTTTCAGAAGAAACAGTGTTACCTTACGCCTCAAATCTATTTGCATGGGTGGGCCTATGTTTTGTACATCTTCCATATCCACATCTTCTAGATCTTGTAAGCCTACATGCTCAGGTGCTCCTATAGCTTGATTTAGTTCGTTGACATCATCAATACCATCATTTTCAACTGCATTCGCATAATGCATGTGGTAAAAGTTTCTGTGAAATCTTTTGAGGTGTTTGACAAAGCATCTTACAGAAGACAGATTCCTGTGACACCCATTTACATCACAAACAATTCTAAATCTGCCATTTCCAATTTCATGAACAAACCTATAATGGTTTAACAGCCTCTTGAAATGAGGCGTTTCATATTCACAATAAATGCACACAAATACTTGAATGTTGTTCTGGTCTTCCATCATGTCCATGAGCCTAGTGCATTTCAATTTGATGAGACACGATTTATAACGTTAGGCCCTACTCGTTATATTTTTAGCCAGACGATGCACTTATGATGCACGCGTGTGATACGATGAAAACGTAGCAAAATTTCCAAACGGACACATGAGCGGCATGCCACTGCTCACTATGCCTATTGACTGTACATGCATTGTGTGCGTGTGTAGCCTATACATGAGCCATGACAATGATGGGGTCTCAGTCAAAGACGGGTTAAGAAAAACGACCTATGTTCATGGCAAGTCTACCTCGACAGCATTATTTGTTAGCACCAAATGATTCACTGGAAATAAGTGGGTAATGATCGTCACACACAAAATGTTACCTTTTTCAGAAAGTTGCCAGCATACTAAGAAAGATGTCAAACATTGGCCCAACTCAAGTTTGCCAAGAGCACTAGGGAACGACCGCTGTGCACTAGGGAAAATGCAATGTCGCGGATATGCGCGCGTAGCGGGCACGCGCATGTGCATGTACGTACAATGTATCAACTTCCAGGCCGTTCTATCTGATTACTAGAGCCTTTCTCAAACCTCGGCTTCGTCAACAGCTTTGGATCTGCCTCTGGACCCAGAAACATTCGCACTTATTTCGCAGGCCAATGTAATGTTCAGATAGAATGTACATGTAAGTTTCCCATCTTTGGCTTCACAACATTAAGTTTGATGTCCCTATATCGAAAATTTGACTCATATTGAGCTCAAATCGCCAAAGTTAGGGACCGAAAAACTCAGGCTTAGCCAAATCGGAGGCGAAACCGAGGTTTGAGAAAGGACCCTGTTTGGCGCGAATAAAGGTTCTGTTCGCCCTCGCGCTGTACGCATGCGTGCGCGTGAAGCAACAGCCAATAACAGCTCCCCACGCAACGCGCGCATGCACTGATCGATAATAATCTTGTCATCTGGCACTAGTGCACGTACGTTAATGAAATATGACACCCGCGGAAACTTAGTCTGAGCATGCGCACATTTATTATTATAATTGTAATCCGAAACCACGCGAGAAGACGCATTACGCACGCGTTTGTGACGTCTCTATGCAAAAACGCGCATGAACTTTGCGCGCGCAAAAACGAGCCCCAGAATTCTGCTTTCTCTCTCATAAACCGGATTTTTTTGGCGATTTTCCCTTGGCTATTATAATACTCCATGAATTATTGTAATTTTCCAATTTTGCGAGAACCGAGCTAATATTTTTTGCAATGAAAGATAGGTTCATCTCGTTCGCGTATTTCACGCTTGCCATGTCATGTTTACGTGTAATTGTATAGGGAACTTACCTGCGTGCAAAAGTATAGGCTGATTGACGAGTGCTTAACCAGTTCCGTGAGAATCTTGTTTATTGCAGCTGGGGTCTTTTAAATCACAAGATAATCCATTCCAATTGAGAAGTACAAATAGTAATTATTAGATTATAAGCTTTTTATTTTAATTGCTACCATTTTTAAAGTAAAATTTGCCATTTTCCCCTTCTTTACATTAAGCCAAACCTTGTCCATCATTGCAATTTTCAGTTTCAAACTCTCTCCTGTTTGAGTATTTTGCCTTTTTGGGCATAGTTCATGAATCTCCTACCCTCAGAATTCGCAAATAATTAACAAATCAATTGTTTATTAGTAAATCACTGGAATTTAATATTAGACTCTTACTACAATCTTTAAATTAACTCCAATGCCAGCGTTTGAAGAGGCTAGACCCAAGATGTTTGTTAAAATTTACATTTTATTTTAATTTATAAAGGTCTTTATTATGATTACAATAGGAACAAGTTAAAAATATATTTCAATTATATAAAAGGGTTATTTTTGAATTAATTTTTTAAAGGCTGGTCATAGTTCTTTTCTTCATAGTGTCCTTCATCATGTCATCTTGTAGATTCAGGCATTGTAGATTCCTTGTAGAAGTCTGCATCATCATCATCAGAAGGAACGACAGTCCCCGGATGACACTCAAAGCATCTCCATACAGCTAAAAAAAAACGTACACATATAAGGAAAAATAAGCAATGTTAAAATATTTCAAAACGCAACATAATAAATAATAGATATCAAAAACAATTTGACAGATTTGAGTTTGGCATGGAGAAAAAAACCCTAGCCTATATTTTTTGGGCCTCATGTATGACCACTTACAATTATTTGCTTTGGTCTCTTTCCATTCTTTATAACCTTTAAAAAAATTCAATATTATTCTTTTTTTTCCCCAGTGAAAAAAGACTTGGTCTAAAACATGAATTTATTTGTATATTTTGTCTGTAAAGTTGTGGGTAAAAATCGTGTAGGCCTAGTGTAGGCCTAGACACGACTTCTACAACAAAAACTTAATTCATTGAGCCCCCCCCCTTTTTTTCTGGCCTTTAAATTTATAAAAAAGAAAAAAAAATAGTAGTGTTGCCGTCATGGCCGTTGGAATTACATGAATTGTATGTTAAATTCTACTTCTTAGTCTCCACTTTCCAAAGGCAACTTGCAATTGAATCAGTTTTCGTATTTTACTGAACAAACCCAAATCCCCTTTTACCCGTATTGCTCTCATTCTCAAAACTCGACTCCAAGGCGACGGTATAACCACCAGTCAAAAGCGATGTGTGTTGTGGGGGCGCGAGCTCCAACTCCCGGCACGCTGTTGCAGACTGCACGGTGCCCGTGATGCCTGGCGACTTCACCGCGTGGTCCGTGCGGTGTCAAATTTCTTCCCACGAGTATCGGTTTGCATGCAAGTCATGACATGTCGTTGTACGTGGTTTAGAATGGCAGATACGAGGTTTCTTGACTTCCACAAGACATAATAGAGGCACAAAATCCTCTATTTCCTGAAAGATTCAGCATTTCGTACTCATTCAGCCACTTCCCAGTGTACATTTCCTGATGCTCATCGCGAGTTACATGCGTTTTTGAGTCAAAATGTCGCCGAAAATGCGATATTCAAGGACGAATTTTGACGATTAAAAAAAATATTAGCTGCTTTCCCGTATGGAAAACAATGAAGTATACACCCTCGTTCACTACATTTAAGAAGTGAGAATTCCCTAAAAAATCCGGATTTTAAAAAAATGCCAAAATTTGATGTGATATCAGAAAAAACTTCGATTTTCGTGCAAAATCATACTAAAATTCAAACTTTCATAAAACGATTTTGCAAGCTGATATTTTCATAATTAAAAAAATATTTATCATGTTGATGAAGCCTCCTTACCAACTGGGGTGCATAGAAACCGCCAGGGGCGATGTCGTCACTGATATAGGGTAGTTTAATTGGTGAGTAACTTCGCGTTTTGATAAATGAATATTCATAATCCGATAATGAGGCACGTGTGTACGCGCGCGTACAGCCGCCATTTTGCGCGTGCGCAAACTAAATTTCGCGGAATGCGATACGTGAGTGGCGTACGTATCTTGTCAGTGTGACAAACGGATCTCGTCGAATTTCATTGACAAGATAGGTTCTTGTCACTATGACCAGAACCCCCGCACCAAATGTTTTCAGTGCTGCTAGAAATGTGACGAGTACTAGCAGCGTAGTGGCACTCGTTTAAGTGTGTAACAAATAAGCCAATGATAATCGGAGGCAATGGTAGTGAATTTTTAAACCCACACTTCTGTAGAAAATCAATTAATACAGTGTAAGCCCTTTGATACGTTTTCCATGTTGACGGCGACATCGAATTAGTTAGCAATTTTAACAGTCCGGGAACCAGTTCTGCGGCTGTAGTTCGGCCGGGAGCGTTAGTGGATGTTTCTCGGCCCACGGGGCTAACGTTTTGAATGTTTTGATCTGTAAACGAGATAATTTATCCGCTAGAATATATCTGATCCTGGTAAATGTTTTGCTTTCAATTGAATATTGCACGTCATTAAATTGACTACTAATCTACGTACAAGTACCATCACTTTCATTTCCTTGCAAGTGTTAGTATTTATGATGGTAGCTAACGCAGCATTATCCGTGTGGATCATAATCCTCTTGTTTGCAAAGAATCGCCCCCATACGCTCACGGCCGCCAGTATTGGATATAATTCCTTTAACGTAATACATTCTCTGGCCCAAGCTTCTGGCCATTTCCCATAAAACCACTGTTTGTCAAAGACCGCTCCGTAACCAACATAACCGCCTGATGCATCAGTATACAAATGCAGTGTGTGTGCAGGTAACCAAACTTCTGAAATAAAAAACGCTTTCCCATTGAATTGTTTTTAAAAAAAAAAGCCAAGCTTGTAAGTCTTTTTTAGCTTGCGAATTAATACGTATAAAGTGATGTTCGCTTTTCACACCTATTGTTAAATTAATCAGTCTTCTCAAAAACGCCCTTCCTGGGATTACTACTCTACATGCAAAATTAAGAAAACCTATGATGGACTGCAGCTCTTTTAGCTTCAATTTGTTTTTCGTTAAGGCTTCACTGACTATGCCGATTGCTTTTGTCAACTTTTCGGCTGGCAAGCTTGCAGACATTGTGTTGCTGTCTAATTCAATTCCTGCGAATGTAAGGCAACTTGAGGGGCCTTCTGTTTTTTCTGGAGCAAGTGGAATTCCTAAATCTTCAGCTAATCTTTGAAAACCCTCTAAATTACGTTGGCCTGTTTGTGGTGACGTTGAAATGATCAAAACATCATCTAGTATGTGCACCAAGCCCCCTGGATTGAGAGTCCTTTTCGCGATCCACTCTACTGCCGTACTGAATGCTTCGAAGATTGCGCAACTTGAACGACAACCCATCGGTAATGTTCTGTCGTAGTAATAATTACCTTCCCACTTGAAACCAAGCAGGTTGTGATCGTTTGGATGGATAGGTATTATTTTAAATGCAGACTTTATATCTAGTTTTGTTAAAACGCACCCTCGTCCTAATTTATTTAGGATTCTAATAGCATCATCTGTTGTTGCATATTGTACTGTGGCATTGTCATCTGGAATCCCGTCGTTAACGGATCCTTTTGCTGGATGAGAGAGATGATGAATTATGCGAAATGTTCCCGGTTGTTTTTTAGGAACCAACCCAATGGGGCTTACACAGAAATTTGGTAAAGGCATTTCACTAAAAGGGCCGTCAATTCTATTGTTTTGTTTTTCTATTTTGAGCTTTTCTGAAACTATTTGAGGGTTTTGTAAAGCTGATACTAAGTTTTTTGACATTCGCATTTTTTGAGTGCCAGTAAAGCCTAAACGAAACCCAGACGTAAAACCTTCTATTAAGTATTGACTTTTTGCTTTATCATACCCCTCCAACTTTTCTTGGAGTATTAGTTTATGTATTGGTGTTGTCGGTTCGTCGGCGGTTATGGAAACACTGCCCGTTTCTCGCACCTCGTTTTGCTTGATCTCTTTGGATTGTATTCTGTGAGGCGAACTGTCTCGGTCTTGCTGCAAAACTGCGTGGAAATTTTCCCCGGTTTCTGAAACTGGATTGAACTCGAAAGATACACTGTTGTTCTGGGTGATTTCCCAAGCATCTTGAACATGTGTGTTGGTAACTGCATATTCCATAACATGGTATCCTGTTCGTAAGTGGCGACGTCATACGTCACGTGACGGTGAACTTCCGGCTCCAACTGCAAGTTTGGCGAAATAGAACGTGTACTGTCAAACATGTCAAAGGTCGTCTGTCAACACAATCAGCTGTTTTTTGTTTACAATACCGAGTAAATGGAACCGGTGTCGTGTTTTACTCTTTGTAGTTTTTTTAAGGATCATCCAGAGCGACTTAAGAAGGCCGAAAATGTCTTGAAATCGGGGAGAGTGCTGTTTGTTCAAGTTCAACCAGGCGGTATGATCATGGGGAAGGTTCAGGCTTCAATGAAGCAGCGAAGTTATAGAGTGGAGGTAAGCGCAAGCGTCTAGGGCTGGTCACTAACGTTAGACATTCATTGATAGGCGAATGTACACGTTTTGCTTACTTTTATTTCTAAATTATTATAAAGTTACCGTTATTACTTTGTTTGTAATTCGGCATAGGGAAGGCCAAGGGACAGGTTGCTAGACACCAATTGTTAGTACTGCTTCCAACAGCTTTAGAATAGATTGTAGAAACCAGAGTATTGATTTCACAATGTTTGCAACCAAACACACATCATCATGATAAAGTCACTGAGGTTATGACCACTTATCCCTCTCGTAGCTCTACTTAGACACAGTTACTGTCTGTCCCCACGTATTGTACAAGAACACTAAGGTTCCGGAACTGCGGGCCCCACATTCATAGCCTGGTTTCAGAAGTACCATACTTGTTTTTGAAAATTGACACTTTTAATTTATATCCTTAATTATTATATCAGTTGTCATGGCGAAAAAAAACCAATTAACTGAATGAATCATTACAATTACATGTAGTACTTTACCAAGTGAAAAGGCTAGCTTTTAGGCTATTTTATTTAGGCTAAATTCCAAACAGTGAATGCAGACTACTACCTATTTTCTACCATGTACATTTTTGGGAAGGCCTATACAAGTATTAAATCAAACTAGGCCTACCTGCCGGGGAAATTTAACTGGTTAAATCCTTACCACTTTACTTTTCCAAAATGCATTATGGTGAAATTAGCTTAAGATTTTAAAACACACAATTTTAATCGTTCATAACTTGCAAGGTACTCAATTTTGTTGGAGGATCGGAGGCAGACAGTTTCTTTTGGGGATATAATTGTGCAGACATATTGGAGAACTGTACAAACACCCATAAGAACTTTTTAACTGTGCACTTTGAAAAGATAATCTTAATTACTTCTACAATTTGCAAGTACCCCAATTTGGTGTCAACTTCATTGGAAAATATTAACCTTGTAGTCAATTTAAGTGAATCGCATGTAACAGTCATCATTATTTTAATTTTCGTTTTTCAATCTTTTAGTTGCAGGTTTCTGAGCAGATGGTCACTTTTTCATCATGTGAATGCCCAGTGGGCCAGGACAGATGTCACCACATGGCAGCGCTCCTCCTATGGATTCAAAAGAATGTTTCAAGAACTGATCTTGAGTGCAAGTGGTCCCGCCCCAAACCCTGCAAATCCCAAGAAACCCCAACGAAGAGACTTTCACAGCTGACTCCAAGCACAAGTACAGGTAATTTAGGAATAAAGGGATTCTTTGTGTGTCGGGTGTCATGGCCGAGCTGTCTAGTACACCCGACTCATGTTCTGGTGGCTGAGTCATCAGAATGTGGGTTCGAATCCCGGCCAGGCCAGCTGTGAAGTTTGTGTCCTTGAGCAAGACCCTTTAGCATAAGTTGTTCTTCTTCGCCCATGTGTATAAATGGGAACCTGCAAGGGCCAAGATGGCATGGTGTTTGATTAATCCCTTAGCGCTCAGTAGCAGCTTGAGGTTGTATGCTCCCCAGGGAGTTGAGAAAGTTTCAGGAAGGATTAAGTGTGCCCAATGATCAGCGTTTTAAAATGCGCCTATTGTAAGCGCTGTGATTTATTAAAGCAATTTGAAATGTTGATTGTACCACAAACCTGTGCCTGCCAACACACAATGTTACACACCGTTTCCCCAACCCCCTGATGATGTGGCATTAAACTCTGTTGTAGAGATAGTGGATGAAATTTCTTACAAGTAATTTAATTTTCATGATTTTTCAGCTGGAATAAAAAGACTTGTGGAAGAGGAGGATAGGGAGTGGCTATTACAGAGAGTTTCCTTGCTAGCAAGATTCACTGGGATTGGGTGGATCCTTTCCAAAGAACCTGAAGTGGTAAGATTGTGGTCAATAATTAACCGTATTAATTTCACTGGTAGTTTTAAAAGTAAAAGAGTATTTAAACAAAAATTAAATATTGTAATCATGCACAATGACCAAATAGAGTGCATGCACTAAAATAAAGACAATTTTAAAATGTTGTTTGATTTAGGTGTAATGCTTCCCTAACTGTGTGAAATCAGTGGCAGCATTGTTCAAACTA